CTTTATACATCTGCTTCCTTTTTAAAGTCTAATGTTTTGTATTTTTTTTTATTTTACAGAGAAAAAAGATAGACAATGATATAGGTTAGCAGGACATTACAAGACAAGCGATCTGTAAAACTATCTTAACTATCTGGTGTATACATATTTTTTTTCTTTTTCCCTTTCTTCCTTTCCCCTTTTGCTCATTGCAGTCTAATGTTTGGACTTCGATGTCATCCAATTTAAAGAAATTACTCTCAAAGTGTGGTGTGCAGTCTAGCAGTATAGGAACTCCTGGGAATTTGTCAGACATGCAAATTCCTGGGCTCCATCCTAGGCATCCAGAACCAGACACCAAGGTGATCCGACTTCTGTTTCATCATCCCTCCAGCTGACTGGTGCACCCTAAAACTGAAAACTAGTGAAGGAGACCAAGCATGCAAATAACCCAGAAAGGAATAAAGGACGTGAAAGATAATTTGCAATCCATTTGAAATGTTTTCTGCCTTTTAGCTTTTCCTCTAAAGATTGAAGAAGGTGATTACTTATGTTGATGACTTTCCATTTGCCAGATTTTCTTTTTAAAGTTAGAGGGTGAGAAATAGAACAAGCAGAGTTTCACTAAATAGCACCCTCTTTGGTGTCCCTTCACACATAATTATGGGCTCTATTTTAAAGCCTCCAGAGTATTCCAATAGGTAAATATTTGAATTGCTTATGTTTTCCTCTATGATTAACAACTTGGACAGTCGTTCTTACACATGTCTTTTTGATATTTTCTGATTATTTCCTTAGGACAAATTCCTAAAAGTAGATCTTCTGAGTTAGTCTTATATACATTTAAAAAGTTGAAAACCATTTTAATTCCTGAGAGAAAAATTATATCAGATGATTATTACACTTACAAAGTATAATTTTAAAATATGGCTGTTAAAATTTTTAAAATTCATTACAGTAAAAGACATACTGATATTAATCTCCCTCAAAATATTCCCCATGACTTTGAACACATGTACTCCATCATTCTTGTCTCTTTCTCAGCAGTTCTGAAAGTCCTTTCCTGTCTTTACTAGCAGTGGTAAAAGAAAATACAGTGAATGCTGCTGCAAGTATGACCCAATAAAGAGGCGTGTAAAAGCATCAGTGTGTCCTCATGCACCTTATTCACTGAGTACGGCAACGTGTGACTCTGGCTCTTCCCCTAAGTCAAAGTGATCTTG